TGCTAGCTCAAAGGCAAGGCCGGGCAATTTCTTACATAAGACCCTTTTCGATCCTAACTCCTGCGAAACAACCGACCTCCTGATAACCGTTCGAAGCCACAAGAGCCAAGGAGATTTTAGCGGCCCGAAGAGTAGAACCGAACCAGGTAGAGGCAGAGAAGCTACCCGCAACTCCCTCCCCCCCGATGATTACCCTGCTCAATCGTAGGTGGGACATGGCAAAATTAACGAAAAACGAAACACCCCTTTATGCACATGAAGCGCTAAAGATAAATATAGAGATGTTGTTGCAGAGTATTGCCACTGAGTCCGAGAGGTCCGGAATGTACACGTGAGCGTCTGGTCCGCTTCTGTTTCTTCCTATAATTCGCGAGGTCCGTCGCTTATGTATAACTTTAAACTAAAACGCTTTACTGGCATTACAACGTGAAAGGAAGAGCCCAGTCCCGAGAAATATCGAGTATTATAGGGTGAGTGTGTGACGTCTGGAGAGTAAGAGTTGAAAAGGGTAGGTTCGACCCCGCCCCGAGGAATATGGAACACTCTGGGGGAGTGAATGTGATCAGGGAACTTTGTTTGTGATGATATGTATTGCATGTGTTGTGTCTAATTTGTAGTTGACAACCTGAGGTACAAAAATGAGAGGTTAGCATTTGTGGGTATCGATATTGTTTTAAAAAAAAGAAGAGAGTCATTAACAGGTCGAGAGCTTAAATAGCTGCAGGTTTAAATTGAAAAAAATTGACCTCTTTAACACCGATTCTGATCCAATCCTGAGGAATTCTTTCCCATTCAACAAAAACAGCCGGTCTTAGCTCTACTAGGATATTAGGACTTGCGTTTCGCATTCGAACTTTTCGCTCAACTTGGTTCAATATGTCGGGTGGTGTGCGCGCAGCGGTAGACATCGGTAGACATCAAAACGCGTTTTCTGCTGACGGTGTTCTATCAGGAGGTTCCGGATGCCCGCGCGGCCATCAATCTTAGCCGCGGCACGGGGACCAAAAAGGGGCTTCAGCTGGCCACACCAAGCACTCAACTCAAACCCCATTCAACTAGTTATCCAAAATACGTGCTCTATAAGGCCTGCCATTATCCTGCATTAGCACCATTCTCTTCACGATGAGGGAGACAAATGGCATTACATGTTTCGATTATGTATTGCAAGTACTTAGAGATCTTCCTCGCCTAATAACCAATTCGGTGCGGGCGTGCATGGAAATTACACTCCAGAACATCAATGACCCACCGGGGAATGCCAACTGAGGAACCATACAGCATTGGGCGTACCGTTCTCCTGCGCGTCTCCATATGAAATTATGCCTAAGTGTAGATTGAGTCACTCACCTCATCTGTAAAGAGAACGCGGAACCAATTTTCCAATATTCGATTCACATGTTCCTGTGTGACTTGAAGCCTGGCCATTTTTCTGAGGTGTGTAATGATAGGTCCACGAGCCGGGTGCCGGGCCCTGAGGTTATATTCAATGAGCCTTCACCTAACAGTCCTGTCCTTCAGCCTAACACCTAACAATCGAAATATTTCGGACTTATTTTATTAGATTTCTTAACTCATTTTCCGTAAGGCTGCGGTTTCGTAGAGCCTGATGACATATGAAACAATGAATGATGCAATTTTACTTTTTGTGCAAATGGGATTGATTAATCAGTACATAAGTAAATAAAGCAATATACACTTACTTTATATTATTAATTTCGACTAACATATCGCCTAATTATATGAAACTAATGTAGAAAGATTAGGGATTTGATTATAATTCAAGGTATATAAAATTTAACTGCTTCAATTTGATACTAGCTGAAATATTAATCCTGTCAACAATCTGTCAGCAGGTTAATCTTCTTTGATCATGCTTATCCGGCCTTACTTCAGAGAGACTTGAGTAGGTCAAGTGCAATATATTCCCGCAATCAAATGTTATGAATGAAGTGGTGAAATGGCTGAATATTAATTTAATTAACAAATATTCGTAGAATTTAGATTAAAATATCTGATATATAACAAATTTGGAAGTAATTGAGCTATTATATTAAGTATTATATTAGAGATACAAATATAATAAATTTATTTGAAATAAACGCAGAATCGGTTTTTCTTCTTAAGTATAAACGGAAAAGTATTCTGATTAATTTAGATTTAAATTATTTACAAATCAATCAGCTTTTTGTCGAGAGTATGCCTTTAGTTACAAAAAATTTTCATCTATTTTTGAACAGGTTGAAGACAATAAAATCAAAAAAGAAAGCGAAAACAATTTAAAAAATCATTTACAAAAACATACTATAAGATACACATACCATCGCTCCAATGTTTTTATTATTATTAAGTGGTCCCTAAAATTAAATTACAAACAAGAAAAAATAACGTACCAAGACAAAGAGTGTGAGGCATAAATTGCGTTCAATTCAAGTCAAAACTAAACGAAATTAAAGCTGGACTTAACTTCACTTTTATCTGACTGCATTGCTCCTTTTTCATTTTCCGGATTACTACTTATCCTCAAAATTCAGAAGAAGCGAGTGAAAAAAGAACGACTCCTGGTTATAAACATATACCGGCAGACCGATCGAAAATTCATTTTAGTATTTGATATCTCCGAGTTGGCAAACTTGTATACAAAAATGTATTTTATGCACGGCCAACGTTGAGGTTTTAACCCTTAGATATTTATTGTCGGGTGCTTGTAACATATATCTCTCTTTGCTCTGATACCAATATTTATGCATCCACGATCCAGGAAAAAACGTCAAGGAACTAATTTTCCTATTCACAAACGATTCCAAGTCAATAGTGTCACACGTACGTTTTATGCTTAACCGTACTCACTGCTTAAAAAGTAACTGAACGAAAATTTCAAATATTTGCACCTTTTTTTAGCCGAATTACATGGTTAGATCAGTTTTGTTTTCATCGCTTAAATGTAACGTGGTAAACATTGATAACAAACCATTCTTGGGTGGAATTTATGAAAATGATACTATCATGTTACCCGCAAGTAATTTTCACCTTAGACGAGTGGTTCGAAGATATTGGGCTTTAACAAAGAAAGGGTTCATTTTTCAAATTTTCCTATCTACACACAACCAAACACGCACACCTAAGGGCCATGCTTAAACTACTATTTCAATATTCTTATGTAAAAATAATTAAAGAATGTATTTTATTACACAGTATAATATATTTTTTATTTGTTAAATTTTGTCTGAATTATTAACGAATTCTGTTTAATATATCTAACAGACATCTCTAGATAAGGAACATGTCTACTTCAAAGAAGACCTAATAATAGACGTACATCGATAAGAAGCAATCAATTGTTCAACAACTTGCCATCTAAACAACGGATTTAACTATAATGTAGGAGTTTGACAATGCTTTAACTTATACATGACGGGTTATCATCCAATCTCCGGCCGATTTTACGAGTTTCACTGTGCTGTTTTTTGCTTGTATTAAAGAGTACATAATAATTCATTAAAACTGAATCACTTGGAGCAAATTTATGATAACTAAAGATCATGATATCATAATCAAATGTAAGTAAGTCCTATCAGCAGAAGTTCATGTATTGATTTATTAAGAAATATCCTGGAATGGAATGACGGAAGGGTGAAAAACCGTCCATGTTCTTGGAAATTCTCGAATTGTTGCCGAAACATCCGCTCAGAAACGCACAATTGTTATTTTACTTTCACTAACTTAAATCCCTGAAGAAAATGTGAAAATGTTATTGCCTTGACAATAAAATGGACTTAGATTAATCCAAAAAATAGCAAGACAATGCATCATTATCAGTGTAGAAACAATAAACAGCGAGAAAAACTGTAATTCTCTGTGCCAGTAACCACTTGCCTTATTTCGAAAACAAACAAAAAATTAAAAATTCAATATAATTCGACTTGCTTTCGTGACGGAATATTCCGCCAAAGACCCGTGGATACACAGTCACTCACGCAAATAATTGAATTCTTACAAGTCGAAAGTTTCAAACTATATGTGCAATTGGGTAGGTACCTAGGTATAAGATAGTAGTACGCCGATTTTTCGCCCTTATCGAATTACACACATTTATTACATTAAATAAAATAAATAGCTTGACACATTTTCATTAAGTTATTTCACAGTCCCTTCAATCGATATTTTACCACCCATACTTACAGACTTTTTCTTTCCCATTTCGAGTGCGCGAGATTTCTCCCTTTACTACTTAACATTTAGATACTATTGGATTTCCTAGAAAATTGTCGATTCTTGTATGAAATAAGCAGTTCTTCACATATTAAGATTCAAGGTCTAGGTTGCTCAAAAATGGATCCATCGGAACATAGGCTTTTCATAGCTGTTTCAACCGAATTGCATAGAATATTTTATTCTATCTTGTCTCTTCTAGACATAGTTCAATATAATTACAGTTCAGCTTTTAATTCCTTTTGTTGAGTACGATTCTCTCATTTTCCAATTGTGTTATTTCTATGTGTTTTCCAAGTCCAATTGAGTATTTTTACCCTCCCCTTTACCCCTTTACCCTCTTACTAATGTTTGCTAATTACTCATGATTCTAATGTTTTTTTAATGCGACTACAGTTTATGCAACAAAATGAATTTGAGCCTAAGTAATGTGCCGAGCCTCATTTTTAGCAATTACAGCAACCCTAAGTTTGGGCCTGACGCCCTTCCAAAATGAGTTTTTTCGATGGAAGTACACGGGCACCCGAGGTCTCAATTCACGAGCCCCCAAAATGGATTCAGGAAGAAGTATAATAAGCTCTATAGAGCTGCAGTGCTCGGGTACCTCCTCCAGTTCCTAGTATCCACCAGTATGTTTCATAAACTTTCACTGATCAAAAGATCCCACTTAAAAATTTGATCAAAAATGAATATCATTATATTCACTTAGTGCATGAGTACTGTTCATGTATACCTGTTGTAATGGCTGAAACTCAACGAAAAAAAACATCAGCTGGTATTGAAACGCAACAGTTTGATCAGTTTGTTGTTTGTTGTTGTCGTCGTTGACTGTGGTTAGTTTTTAATTAGAAATGATTGGCAATGTCAATGATGTCGAATGATATTTGGATGTTTTACAATGGTAATTACCTTCTTTTCTGAAGAAATTCTATGGATATTAAATATACAAGTTAAATCAATTAGTAACAGAAATGCATAATTAAAGGGTTCCATGTGCTGCAAACCAAAAGTTGTCAAATCGTTGCTTGAAAATATAATAGAATCGAACAAAATCGTCATATTTTCAAAGTCCAATTGTGTCTACTGCACCGATGTTAAAACCGTGAGTTCATACATCTTTTAAATGCGAAAATATTTAATAACTTTTTTCATAGTTTTTATCAATTTAAACAGATGTTTTCGCAAATGGGCGTAGGTTATGCAGTTGTAGAACTAGACCATTGCCACAATGTTCAACATTTGATAAAATCGCTCGTTAATTACACTGGTCACTACACGGTACATTATTCCTTGAATAAAATTTAGTATTATTTTAATTTGCATTGCTTCTGTAATCCTAAAAAGGCTAAAGTGAGAGAAAATAATGTTCTAAACTCGCCTTATATAGCTACGATTTTCTATCTCGATAAAACCCAGAAGAATTAAAATTCTGAATATTAAACAACAAAAAAATATTTATTTCCGTCTTTAAATAAGTTGAATTCTTCGGTCGTTTTCCAGGTGCCACAGGTGTTCATAAACGGTAAGTTCATCGGAGGTGAGATCGACGTTTTTCACATGAGGGCCTCTGGAGAGTTGAGAACATTGTTGCATAAAGTTTTTCATGGTCTGGCGTACAACAAATGTCCGATAGATGTTTTACAGCCTTGCACCCCAACCGTAGTCGGTCCTAGGGCAGGCCTCCCGAAAGCCTGGAGCACCCCCGAAGCTTTCACAAAATACAAACCAATAAGCTATTCGATGAGTACACCTGTCAAGCAATACCCAATTTACAGGAAAGAAGATCATATTTTGTATCCAGAATATCGTTAGTAAACTTTCTCTTTCCTGTTATTTTTTTTAATAAATAATTGCTATTTCCTTTTTGAAGTTAAATTATTTCCAAGATAGTTATTGATTGATTTGATTTTTTGCTCGTTTAACAGAAAAAAAAATGATAAGAATGTTTCTTTGAATGTTTTTCCATTCCAGAGTATCAGCTGAAAATAATAAAAAAAATGTAGAGTATTTATTGTAAGTTATATACTCTCTTCAATACATATTTATGCAAATATGTAACATTTCCAAGTCTATTTGAAACTTTTCACGAGTCAAGTGTATCCTTTTCCAAATTAAATGCAATCCTTTCCATATGAATTTTTGTAAAAAAAAACCATGCAAAGCATATGGGACTCTTTACAATTCAATTTGTACCCGTTTTCCGTTTCAATTGTTACCCTTGAAAAAAATTAGAAGATTTAACGAGCTGTGGAATGGGTGAAGTTGTTGGGGCCACAGAATTCACAGGGATAAGCGATAGAAATATTTTTTTTTTCAGACTTCTATTAGTACCAATTATACAGCAAACTTACATAAATTAATTTTCGAATTTTTTTTTTTATTAAACATTATTACTCGTTTTTAGAGGATGAAGGAAAAAATTAGAAAACAAAAAATTGGACAAATTAAATTTTGTGCAGTAATCTATAAAAACGTGTACAAACTGTATAACTGGTAAAAATTGCAATAACGCCAAAGTGTGTGTATGGATTAGTGTCAAAAGAGCGTGTTTTTCTTAATTCAAATTTATGTTTTGGTTTCATAGCAATCGGAGTTGGCAATAAAATGGTGCTATTCCAAGGGAATCCGGTATTTAGTGATGACGATTGCGATGTAATATATTAACTCCATCGCATCTAATCGAGTTGGTATCAATGGGTTGGCTGTCAGGAACTGACATATGTTCGTTCTTTTGTTTCGTTGTGACAGACCGGCTTTATAATAAAGGTAACATTGATCCATTTTGATTTATTTGATCGTAGCGCACAGTCGAAATTGCTCCCGAGTAAATAAGGATTTAACCAGCAATCTGCAACTTTCTGCCCCGTTTTGGCGTCGTAAACAGACAATCTATCATTCGTGACAGAACTGTCAACGAACTAAACATTCGACCAAGATGAATTTACCCTTAGCTTATAAACTTAAGCCTTTAAGAATTGCGTAAAAAATCATACATTTAACATGCACGTAAAATTAATTATAAAGTAGTAGGAAAATAGTAAATCAACGTTTAAAATGTCACGTTTGTTCATGTATTCTTGATCTTCATCATCCATAATGTTTTTACTATTTTATCGTAGATAAAATAACAGGCACAATTCAAACGAGTGGATCGAGGTCACGATAGCTCAAGTGGTAGAGCAGCGGCGTATCAAGCCGAAGATCGTGGGTTCGAGTCCCGCTCGTGTCATTGACTTTTTTTATCTCAACTGAAAACCTTAATTAATTGTGAGATATTAATTGGTCAAGCGGATCACGAAACTAGTGAATTCAATAAGTTTAAAATGAAGTATACTTCACTAAAGCTCTCCGTGGCCATTTCATTTGTCGCCGGGAATCAAATTGATTACACGACATTTGAAAAATGGCAAAAAGGAGGGAAAATTCAAAAGGTGTGGTTGAGATGGGTGGGGGTGTCCGAGTGGTTCGAGGTCACCATAGCTCAAGTGGTAGAGCAGCGGCGTATCAAGCCGAAGATCGTGGGTTCGAATCCCGCTCGTGTCATTGACTTTTTTATCTCAACTGAAAACCTTAATTGATTAAGTTTTATGTTTTAACCGTACTAAAAGTATATATTTAATGATTGATGTTTATAGAAACCCTTTAACTCCTAGATGGAATGAAATGTGGATGATTTGTTAAAAAATCTTTTGTTTTCTGTACCAAATTGTAGATTTTAGATATTCTGGTCTATTTAAACGCAATAATAAAATTTATAATAGTTTATGACAAATGATTTTGATTGGTATCAAAACGGTGTTATTTACCCCTAGTGATGTGAGTATTATGCATATGCAATAACAAATAAATTGTCATTTGATCAATCAACATGGATTAATTGAACAATCCTAGATTTAGTGCCAGGAAATATGAATTATTATTGGTTGGGATAGGACATACTGTTGTAGGAAAATTCGTTCGTGTCGTGCCTCAGCTCCCGCTCATTACTACTGCTTTCTTTACGCCCGTCCTAATTGGTCTCCTTTTAAATCTGACGATCTGGGGCTTTCTCCAGGTGATAATTCAATGGTAATCCCCCCTGGATGCACTGGCGAGGGGTACTCAATCGGTTTATGTTACCACTAGATGGACAGGACAAGTTGGTGGTCTTTGTATTTCATAGACCAACAAAAGTCAAGCCGCCTTTATTTAACCCTCGATTTACAGGACAATACCGTTAGTTCCACATTTGAAGCTTGGTTTCTCAGCATAAGAAGTATTAACCACAGTAATGCAAACATCTTTAAAAAGTGTATTAAATGAAGAAACAAGAAGATTTGACAGTCTCTGAGATTATTTGTATGAGAGAGGAAAAGTTTTGAATTGCTCTGAAAATTCCGGATTATCATAAATTTTACATTTCCTCTGTTTTAAATTACAAGCATGTCACAAAGAAATAAAAATGGTGCGAACTCTAAAGGAAATGTCCGAAAAAAGGAGTCAAAACTGTGAATAAATTAAGTAAAAGTTGGGAAAACGCGATTTAACGGCATAAGGTCCGATTTTTTCTAAAGATGCAAGAACAATCATAACTCCGTATTGAAGAACGGTAGGACTTACTTTGGCAGCATTCTACTCCATTTTCGATTATGTTTCGCCCAAAACAATTTGGGTTGGTTTGTCCCATTTGATTCGGCTGTGTAGTTCATTTAAATGTTCCCCCTTCCATCACGCTCAGAAGTCCTGCACGATTCGGTCTAACAACTGAAATCTATCAACTCGATTCGATAAAAAAACTACATGACGACTCAATCACAAATTATCTAGAAGACCTAACTCCAGGCGAAGCCACTGACTACTCGCTGTGGAAGGCCATAAAAAAATTAAAAGGCCAATCGCCTAAATTCCTCCATTAAAAAAAGAGAATGGTACTTGGGCGAGAGATAGCAGGAAAAAAGCTGAATTGTTTGCTAGTTACCTTGCTGAAATCTTCAAACCAAATGAAATCATCAATAGCAGCTTACTTGAAGTAACAACCACGCCACAAGAAGAAAATATAAAGCTAGTTTCACCTAAAGAAGTAGCACGAGAAATTAAAAATTTACCTGCTAAAAAGACTCCAGGATATCACTGGAGAAATACTAAAACAATTGCCAAAAAAGGGTATAGTTAAACTAACATACCTATTTAATGCTGCAATCAGACTGAAATATGTTCCCAGCATCTGGANATAAATACATTTAATTAAAATTGTTACAAAAATCGATATTTTCATCATAAATGTAGATGTAAGTTAGTTTTTAATCTTATATTGTTCTTGTTACATTAAAAACGTTTGAGGCAATAATAACCATAAAAATCCACGGAAGAATTATTTTCATTCTTATACGTTTTGTTCTTAAATCTATTTTTTCATTTATAAGGTCCACCAAGGTAAAAATGTACGGCATAATGATTTGTAAAAGCTGTTCTTCGGCTGGGACAGCGGAAGACTACACTAGCTGAAGTAAGAGATGTATTCTTCCTTCTGCCTGTGACAGTCTATTTCCACAAAAAGGACATTACTCTGCCTCGAACAGTTTTTAGGAGCAGCAGTAACGGCCTCTTTCCGTCACGGTTATAGCACGACCTCTGTACCAGGCAATTGTTTGATTTATTTATGTATATATTTTGTTGTGGGCCCTCGGCAACGGCACATGCTTGGCCGGTAAAACATGTGCTCTACCGATGAGTTATGTCCATAACGGATGTCATTATCATCTCGTTTATTATTAAAAATAAATTTAATTTTTACTTGAGATTTTAAGCATGTGTTCTTATGGTTCATCTCGTTTATACAAATCTTAAGCTAAAATTTATCGTTTTTTAGATGAAGTATTATAAATTTTAAAATATGACATTTTTACGTTTTACTCCCATCGACATAAAAATATGGGTCGAGAAAAAATTATATTAATATGGACACATAAAAAAATTAATGACTAAATTAATCTAAGTTCGTTCGATATAATAACAGCCCTATTATAATTTCATTTCTGCTAAAGAAATATACATTAAAATTGACTTCCCAAATACAACAACCTTCTAGCTGATTCAAATCACCCACTAGACATAAACTGGCATTCATCAAGAACAGAAGAAAACACTAGAATTAACTAGTGAGAAATTCAAACATGAACTACGAACAGTAAAATACGTTGCACATTGCAGTAAAAATAAAGAAAGAGAATTTGCCAAATCTATTCAATTATTAAACAATAGTTAATATTTAAATTTTAAAGCAATTTACTTTTGAACATATCGTCTCCCAGACGTATTGCATTTTTTGTTGCATCTAGCATCTATCTCCTAATCAATCCGGTGCTTTAACGACCTCTGAGCACTTTCTAAACCAGAAAAATCATATGTGAATACTGAAATATCAATCTAATAAAAGCCGACACCCCCACTATGACCATTCTTGGTCCCATTCTGCATATCATTTACAGTACTCACTTTCCTACATATCCCAACACTATCATTACCACCCATGCGGATGACATCGCGAGTTATGCTTCTAACCCGAATCTCATTTAAGGAATCTCAACCATCCAAGAACACCTTCAATTTATACAAGACTGGTGCAAAAAGTGGAGGGCAAAACTGATTGAGTAAAAATGAACACAGAGTATATTTTCGTTGCACAAACAGTCTTACTCTCTGCTGTACATCAGAAACAAAGAGCTACCTACTTCTACTCAAACCAGATGTATATGTATATATATGTGGTGATTAGTGACCGTTAATAGATATTTATTTAGAAATCGTGAGATGCGGCCTGGTGTTATGTAAGTTTCAGAAAAACATTTTCTTTATCGTGCCAACGTTTCGATCTTTATTGAGATCT